CTGCATGGATTCTGCGGATCCGCGTGCGCGAGGGAGTCAGCGAGTGAGCGCGAGCGAGCAGCCCCGCGAGGCTTTTGAAAGGATCACAAAAGAAATGGGGGCCCGCGGTGGGTGAGGGGGTTCAGACTTGTGGAGGAGGAGGAATAAAATCGCCTCCTCCCTCCAGCACCACCATCCAGACCGAGGAGAGGGAGAGAGGGGAGGCTGGCCCCCGGAGGTGCTGCCCTTTTCCTCAGCTTGTGGTTATTCGGAGCGGAAATAAACACAATTAACAGCCTTGTTTAATCTCAGCTACTTACCACGAGCAGCGCGACAGCACAATACAGTGAGCTGCACACAAGCTATATCAGAGAAGGAGGCAGATGATGAGGCGGCTATTGCAAAGGGCCACGCAGGAATCAATGAGCAAGACAAATGTTTTATTTGGACTTGTAATTCACCATGCTTTTGTGTCAAATCTTTGCAAATAAAGAATTCTGAGTTGTCCTGTTTTGATAAATTAAAGCACAGACTCCTTTGGGCTCTACTGAAGTAGATATGCAGTCAAATATAATTCTAAGTGCGGTACAAAAGTATTTGCCCCCCAGTCGTAACCACTTTTTAAGTGGTTCAGTTCAGTTCCACTAACCACACCCAGAGCTGATTACTGCCAGACCTGATGAATCAGGAACTCACTTAAACAGAACCTGTCGGACAAAGTGAAGTAGACTAAAAGATCTAAAAATAAAAAACCAAACAAAAAAACAACAACAACAACAACACAACATGCCATAATCTAAAGGAACTCAAGAACAGCTGAGAAACAAACTGACATCTATCAGTCCTGAAAGGGTTATAAAGCCGTTTCTGAGACTTTCGGACTTCAGTGAACCACAGTAAGAGCCGTTATCCACAAATGGAGAGAACCTGGAACATTGCAGAATCTTCCCAGGAGTGGTCCACCTGCCAAAGTTACTCCAAGAGCGCATCAACGACTCATCCAGGAGGTTACAAAAGAACCCAGAATAAAATCTGAACTGCAGGCCTCAGCTGTGTCACTTAAGGTCAGAGTTTGTGATTCAACAAGACTGGGCAAAAATGGTATCCATGGGAGAGTAAGAAGAAAGCCGCTGCTAACCACAAAGAACATGACAGCTTGTCTCACAGCTGCCAAAAACATCGTGATGATCACCAGGACTTGTGGGAAAATATTCTGAAGACAAAAGTTGAACTTTTTGGAAAGTGTGAGTCCTGTTACATCTGGTGTAAAACTTACACAGCGGTCTGGTGCTTCAGGTTTTGGAGTGACTGAGTCAAAGTCTGGACTTAAATCAGATTGAAATGCTTTGGCATGATCTTAAACAGGCTTTTCATGTTCAAAAATCCTCCAGTGTGACTGAATTAAAGCAAATCTGCAAAGAAGAGTGGGCCAAAATTCCTCCACAGCAATGTGACAGACTCATTGCTAGTTATCACACACGGTAGATTGCAGTTCTTACTGCCAAGGGTGGCACAACCAGTTATTAGGTTTAGGGAGCAATTAGTTTTTCACATAGAGCCTGGTAGATCTGGATAATTCTTTTTTCCATTAATAAATTAAATCATTTTTTTAAAACTGCATTTTTTTATTCAGTCAGGTTATGTTTGTCAAATGTTAAATTGGCTTGATGATCTAAAACACGTAAGCTAAAACCTAAGAAATCAGGAACGAAGCACATACTTCTGTTGGGCCTTAGGGCAGCCCCTCACTTCATCCGCTCTGTGAAATAAGCTTTTCAAGCCAATCTCTCTCTTTGAGACAACTTTCTTCTGATTGGCTGCCTCCTTCAAGCAGAAGGTTTTAGCAGCAGTTGGGTGGGGTTGCTGTGTCTGTGATGACCATATAAGGGTGTCATCTTTCGTTGATGTCATAGAGATCCAAGATTAGAAAAAAGTGCCTGACACAGAGTGTTTAGAGCAGCCTGAAGTTTGAGTTTTGCGTCACAGAGATTTTTTTCTTTTTATTTATTTTTTATTTTATTTCATGATCTTCACCAACAGCTCCTCGGAGGGAAATCGTCTTCTCCGCCATAGGGCCGTCCCAGAAGATGAACAGAGGTCTAAAGGTCATGTGCTTTAGAAATAGGAAACAAAATCCAGCAAGGACCTGAGAGATGTATTTGGTCATTCAGCTCCACTGTTCACAAAAGCCTCAACAGAAATGGTATCAGTGGATGGGTGGCTGTCAAGAGGCCATCATGAAATACCATCTGGAAAGAGTCACACAGTGGGACACTATCAGTCATGGACTGGTCTCCCCAGAGCCCAGATCCTAACATCATTGAAGCAGTGTGGGATCTTCTTCACAGAGAACAGAACAAAAAGCAGCCAACATCCAAAGAAGGGCCTTGAATGTTCATCAAGCCCAGAGAACTATTCTTAAAGACTACTTAAAGAAAGAAAGCTGCCTATGAGAGTTCAGGCTGTGCTGAAGAATAAAGGTGGTCATGCTAAATATTGAGCACTCTATTTAGATTCTTTGGAGTACCCCGAGTGAGACCGAATTGAAGTCACTACAGACAGTTAGAAAATTAAATTCTTTTAAATGAATTATGCTGAGGTATTAATAGCTAAAAATGCACTGTCTACAAGTAGTACTGGTCTTACTCGTCTGTGAAATAATGAGTTCATTTCAGGTCTTTGAAAAAACACACACACACAAATGCACACGCAGTTACACAATAGGGCTTTATAAAATATGTAAAGCACACTTTCTCTTAAGAATGGTAAAACCTTTATTAGGAAAACTGCAGCCAATAAGAAAATGCACAGGATAACATAAAAAACAAAGCTGTGTGGGGAGCTAGCAGCCAGTTTATGGTGTTTTCGAACTGCACGCATAATGAATCCCAAACAACTTGGAGTGGATTGTAAAACTGCACCATAAACCTCCAAACCACACATTTAACTTGTACCATTGTACCACTGCATAAGTGATTTGTGAACCCTTTACTGAGATTTCTGCTCTGACGTCTTGTAAAATTATAGACAGTCACAACGGGACCAAACTAATAGCACATTTTTCATGTCTTTATGAAGCCCTGAGATAGACTGGCAACCTGAATATGCTGTTAAGAAAATGGATGGATGTCTTTATTAAACACATTAAGTTACAAGCTGTAAGTCCAAGCTGGAAAGAGTAAGTCAGCATCTATACCTCAGTAATGATTTCTCCAAAAGATACTCCGAACAAGACAAGTTAACAAGATAGGATAACAGATATTAATCCCTTTAAATCCTTGTAAGATAAATGCATGCAAAGTCACAAAGTTAAATCGCAAGTTCCCTAAAAAACATTACAGAGACGAACAAAGCTGGAGACTACAAAACCAACATCCAAAGATGTTTCTGTTCATCAGTCCACAGTAAGAAAACTCTCTACAAACAGCTGAAATTCAGACCTGTTTCTATGCTAAAAGTGCAATCTTCACGTTTAGTTTGGGGTTAGTTTTAGTCTTGTTTTCATTACAATAATAGGCATGATATTTGTCAGGGGAATATTTATTTAAGAAGTTCAGAATTGATATTAAAATATGAAACAGAACACTCTGTAAAGACAGCGGAGTCAGATTGATGTAAACATGGTAAGTGCCAATAAACACATCCACAAAATCCTCTTCAGAGAGATCCTTTTGGTATCCATCAATAGGCTTTGTGCATAATTCTGGTTGGATATTTGACCAAATTTTTAGCAGAATTGGCAAAGTTCATTTAGTTGGTTGGTTTCATGGATTGGACCCAACTTTTAAGATTAATTCACAAATTTTCATGGATTAGTTTATGCATCCGAAAACCAGTTTTGATGTATTTGGGATCATTTTCCTGTTGGTACTTCCAAGTGTAAACTGTCTCCCTGTTGATTTGCGGTGAAGTTGAAGAATTTGCTGGGAGTCCTGTCACTGTGTCCAAAAAAGCTTAATTTTTGTCTCATATGACCCATCAACCTTGTCTCCAGATGGCATTTGGTTTGTCCGCTTTTTTCTTTGTAAGCATGTTATTAGTCCATGTGATGGCAGTTTCCAGTTCTTTGCAGGCTCGAGTTTTTGTGGTTCCTGGGTTATTCCTGAACATCATAACCAACTTCCTGTCACTGAGGGTGACAGTTTGGGTCTTGTCCAGACCTTCACAAAGTGGTAACACATCAGAATTACTTGTACTCACTGATTAACTTGGAACCTGCAGTTGTTTAGAAATGGCTCCAAGAGACCATTCCAACCTGTGTAACTCGACAATTCTCTTTCCTACATCTTCACTGACTTCCTTGGACTTTTCCGTTGTTCTGAATATTAGTCAGTCCAATGAGTGATGTCACACAAATCCTTTTTATAATGGCAAATAGAAACTACCAGTTGTAGTCAAGCACGATCACTAACAAGTTGATAGAATTTGGCCTTTCCACATTAAAAGACATTGCGTAACCTTTAGCAGAGCTTATTAGAAGATTTGGGTGAGTATGTGTGGAGGAGTATGCATACTTTTGGCTCTGTGTGGATTAAAGAAAATAGTAATGCTGTACTATTATTTCACCCTGGAAAAAAGAACAGTTTAAAATCCCAGAATTACCATATCATTTGTGCCCATGATGAGTGAATGTGAACTTCAGATCTGAACCTGAACGGCCCTCACTGAGAGCTGTGGCATGATTAGCAGAGGGTTGCTCAGTGCTAATAATAGAAATCTCCAGGAATTGCAACAGTTTTGTTAGAGGAATGTCAACATGTTCCCAGGTTACATAAGTTAAATAAGAAGGCATCTGATCAAGCTTACTGCTACTAAAGAAAGTTTTCCCAAGAGACGTTATTCACTAACTTTTCTAGATCCCGATTGCTCACTCCCTGTTTATTGTATAAGTTTAACCTGATTGTGTTTATAGTGGTAATTAAATGAAGATTCGATCATTTTTCTGGTTAATCAGTTTAGAAATACTTGTAAAGGCTCCACAAACACAACAAAGCATTTCAGTCAGAAAATAATTTGACAGCTTTTTTTTTTCTTTTTTCAGAATATTGAAGTTTATTATAAAGCAGTACATCAGAATAAAAAAAGAAGTCGCTGTGGAGGTTCTTGTGCCTGAGCCTAATAATCTTCAAACGCATCCTGAGGTTCTTTTGAAACAGGCTGAAATTACAGAGTCCTAGACCACTGTCGAACACCACCCATCCACGTCCAAGGCAGAACGCACGCACGCACGCACACGCACACACACACACGCGCACACACACACGCGCACACACACACACACACACACACACACACACACACACACACACAGCCCCTACTGAATTTCTCCCATGTACAGACGTTTATCACTGGCACCAGACAGCACTGTGTAGAGAGACAAAGGAGAAAAAAAAAAAGGATTCGACTTTGATTTTTGTTTAATGTTTCATAAGGAAGCTTAAAGCGACCTAAGCGCCTAACTTAACATAATTCTGGCATACTGACATCCACCTATCCCAATGTGCCTTCAAGTTATCTTAATTAATTCTTGTGTTAATTAAAAAAGTGTATTTTAGGCCTGAAACACACCTTAACCGATGAAGTTAGTTCACTCACCTATAGGCTCCTCTGGGTGGAAGACCACTTCGTTGACCGAGCCTGCGTGGCCCGGCAGTTTGTACAGGATCCTGCGTGATGTGGTGTCCCAAATATACACAAACCTGTAAAACATGATGCAGAAAAAAAAAAAAAGGTGTTTACATTTGAAATCGCCATATGTTAAAAACTATATATGTCATACAGTCACTCACCACTTCATTAGGTAAACCTGGTCATCTGCTCGTCAATATAAACATCTAATCTAATCTTATTTTTACTGGTAACAAATCACATTTTCGTCACTGCATTTTTCTTAATTATGTCCTTTGCGGGATGCAACGGGACAGAGTTTGCTTTCAGAAATACAGATTCGATGGTGCACTCAGAGTACAGCAGCTAACCTGAAGGTGACTTGAGCCCTTTGTGTTTGTGTGCGAGCTCATATTCATGTACAGTATGAGTCGGTGTATTTGCTTCTCACCTGTCGGCCGAGCCTGCAGCTATCTTACTGCCATCAGTAGACCAGGAGCACCTCATCAGGTTCTGAATGACAGGAAAAGATGAATTAGAAACAAAGCATTACATGTGTGAGCTGCTGAGGTGAAAGACAAAAACGCTTGCAGGACTCCAGCTGTTTGTCACTTCAATGAAGAGGGATATAACTTACCTTTTCAAAGTTGTGAACATTGCCCTGGAAAATCTTCACACATCTTTCCTTGGGAGCAAATGGTCGAACATCCCAAATACGGACTGCACAGAGACACAGGGAGACTTCAAGAACAGGATTCACCCATACAGCCAACCACGTTTATGAGCCAAACATGTCTGATAGTACCTGTGTTATCCATGGAGTTTGAGAGAAGGTATGACCCCTCGGAGCTCAGGCTGAGCCCAGTCACTGAGTCACCGTGTCCGTGCATGTTGTAGATCAGCTTATTCTGCCTCAGATCCCACACCTGCAACAACACAATCAATAACTTTGGGTAGGGTTCCTGCAGAAAAGCCATGCAAAGTCATTCTTGAACATTTTATAAGAGGTGCAAAAGTAAAAAATGATTCACTGCTTTATGGTCTTTGCAGTACCTCAGGGAAACAGCGTCCCAACAGTGGCTAAATACAGAGTGGAAACAACTTTTTCACTTGTATTTAAATGAAAAAAAACCAGCGCTGAGCTACACGTTAGCATCAAACCGCTCCAAACTAAGATAAAACCAAAAGTATTTACGCAATCTTTTGTTCATGTTGCTCCAGAATTTAAGAGCCACAACCACTGGGAAATTATTTTTAAAAAACTAATTATAGTAATTTGTCCTGGATACATTCTAAACTGTGCATGAACTACATGTAAAACCTTAGTTTCACTTTTCAGCCTTGTGTTCTTGAACATGACTAGAGGCTCCCTTTCTTCTAATTGAAAATAGTTATGTATGAAAACCCATTTATATGCCTGTCAAGCATGTAACACTTTGATAGGTGGCAAGGATAAACAGCCCACTCTGGCAAGCTGTGCTGAGTCCATAGGTCCTGCTCGCTTCTGCTAATCAAATTCCATCTTTTTGCCTTCTTTGGCCACAGGCGTCCAAGATAATTATTTGAAATTAAAGCGGCGCCATGAAGTGAAAAATTGGCCCAGCCGAGATTTAATTTCACTAATACACTATGTGTGCTGTGATAATAAAATCCACAGCATAAACAATCTCGTTTTTCAGGATACCCTCGAAAGAACATGGACAAGAAGTTCCATCAGCAGTAACGTGTTTCCAGTGTCATTCTACCTTGATGTCATTGTCGATGCCTCCTGACAGGATCTGATCGCTGGTGTCGTTGAAAGTCACAGCCAGCACCTGGTAGGTGTTCTGGAAAGTGTGGATGGCTCCTTTTTTACGGATGTCCCAGAGCTACAGAGCAGACAGTGACATCAAACAGAAAGCACAATCAGACCTTCATGTTTAATTTTGTGGGACAAAAATGTGGCATCCAGACCTAAAGATGTGGATAAAAATAAAGCTGGAAAACTCACCTTCACTGTCCCGTCGTCACTGCCGGTGCAGATGAGTTGGGGTCCACGGCGAGCTGGGTAGCATGTATTAACGAAGGAAGTGTGGCCCTTCAAGCGCTTGATCCTCTCGCCCGTTTCACTGTCCCAAACACCTACAGTTTTGTCTGTGCTGGCTGAGAACAGCATGCTGAAATGACATAGCAGGAAATAACAGTTAGTTAACCCTTTATAAAGAGCACAGGGTTATTAAGCCCTTAATAGGAAGTGCTGATTGCATGTGTCCTTTGCTAAAGATCTCCACCTACTTACCTGCCATCTGTGTTGTAGTGCAGCTCCATCACTGCTCCACTGTGTCCCTTCAGTGTGGCGTAATTTTCGCAATCTCCATACACGTTCCAGAGCACTGCAGCAAAAAAACACAAAACACCGGTACACACCAAGTTATTCACAGTGAAGAAGTCGTTGCCTCACTGCAGAGATTTACTGGGAGTTTAACTAACTTACATATGAGTCTGTCAAATCCTGAAGAGGCAAGGGTGGCTCCATTGGGGTGAAACTTGCAGCAGTACACCTCACCCTCGTGGCCAGACATTAGCATGATGGGAGCCTGGAGGCTGGAGGTCCGTGGGGGGCCCTATGGGAGACATATACGTGGTTAATACAGAGGTTGAGGTTAAAGAGGGAATTTCAGAAAAAATGTACTGATGTGAGGCTATGACAAGAGGACCTTGCAGTACAGTCAGTGGCATGGGTTTTGATTTATATGGTAACACTTTAAACAATAACTAATACAATGTTTCCCCATTATCAGTTCTTTCTTGATTCCTGATCAGTTTTCTTTGTGGGAACAAAAGCCGGGATCAAAGGCAGCTGTTGGTATAGAAACGTGTCCTGCCAGGTGACCTGGGAGGGTAGATACATCTGGAGGCAGATGATTAAAGGTTTGAGTATCTTGTTTCTAAATATTCAGGTAACTTATCCAGTTTAATCATACTGGATATTTTTAGCTTGTATTTATAATTTATTATAAAATCAGATATGGACTGTGAACGTGGGTCAAAGTGTTGTTGTTGTTTCTTTTATATAATAGTCTCAAAAACAAATGTCAAGGTCATATTTAATGAAATGCTGGTGTTTTAATGCGAATAAAGATGATCTGCAAGGATCATCTACCTCCATCTCAAGCATCCTCCTCTCTCACACCAACCCTCTGCATGACATCCTTCACTACATCAAAGGATCTTCTGTGAGGTCTTCCTCATTTCCTCCATCTTCAACATCCCATCCACTATCCCTCCTCTCCACATGTCCAAACCATCTCAGCCCTCTCTAACTGCTCAATCTGCAATGTCCCTCTGATGAAACTTTGCATGCATCTTTAGTATTGTCCATTCGGGTCCTTCCCAATGTAAATCTGAATGTTTTCAATTTGTCAGAGCCATGATACACCATCCAAACCATACATACAGCAGGTCTCATTACCACCTTCCCTTTCACTCCTGTAGCTGCTCTTCCACAATCCATGGACTGCATCCTGGCTGCACTCTCTTCTTCCCTTATCTAATGCCCCGTCCGTTGCTTTGGATGTTTGAACCCATTTATGTAAACTCATATACCCTCACTGTTACACCTCCCATCAGACTGGAATTTGATGCGTCTCCCTCTCATTCACACACAAGTTCTCTTTTGTGTCTTCTGACTTTCATTCCTCTTCTCTCCACCACATACCTCCACCTCACCAAGCTCTCTTCCCCCTGCTCCCTCCTCTCACTACAGATCGGCTGCAGACATCATAGTCTACCGGCACTCTTGCCTGGCCTCATCTTTCAGCCTCTCCATCAAGACTGCAAACAAGAAAGGGGCACAGAGCCAAACCCTGACATAATCCTACCCCCACCTTGAATAGTCGAAATGTCAGAGTTAACAGCCAAAGGAATAGAAGTATCTATTTGTTCTACACTGAGATACAAAGTAGGGGTTACCTGGGAGTAACTTCCTGAATTCAGAATAGAAATGGTGGTCAAGATAGTTGATAATGTCTTTTACTTTCTTTATCACCCGTGTTTCTCAGTGTAAACACAAATCTCTTTGCGCGACCCCCGTTATTTTGGAGCTGGTATTATCAATGTTGCTGAGAGTTTCTATCCTTAAAAGATAAAACATTAAACCAGAACACAAAAGAACATTTTCTGTGATCGCTTTAAAAACTCTTTTTAAACAATCGTTTACCCAAATCTAGATGGAGACATTGTAAAAAGCATCAAAGTGAGAGCTAATGCTGTGCTAATTTTATTTGCATGTTTATAGGTCTCGCTGGCAGCCCAGATAATGAACCTAAAATCACCACAAAGGGAAAATGTGACTTTTTTCCAGGCGGCTTTATATATAATTAATCACAAAGCGTACACAGTATAGTGTGGTTACTTGTTCTAAGTGTTTGAGTCTACTTCAGTAGCCACCCCTCCCGGTTGTAGTAACAGCTACCCTCCGTACCGTGGCCACGAGTTGCTGAGACTGCGCCGCCGCTATCAGCTCCGTCCGGGGCCGCTTCACGGCGGAAGGAACCACCGCCATGTCTGCCGCTCTTTTCATAGGCTCAATCATCTTTACAGGACAAAAATCCGCAAAAATTTAAAGCTTTAACGCTACAATTTACAAAAAATGAATAGACGTCTTTCATACGAGACGTCGGAGGAAGTAGCACCAACGTATCAACACAGAAGAAGTACTTCCTGTGAGCGCGAGGAATACTATTGGTCGAGATTTGCAACGGCTAAGATGATTGGTAGATTAGCCGCTCCGCTTGTTGTTGAAACGTTTTGAACCGGATGTAAAATAACCATCGTATCAATCCGAAAGGTAACGCTGATATCATTTTAAAATTATTTTCTCTGAAATTATTGCTGCATGAGGTTATGTTTATTGTTTATTATAAACTAGAACGTTAAGCAGGCGCGGGCCCATTTTCTTGTTCATATTTTATTTATTCAATATCTGTTTATTCATTTATTATAGCTCTTTAGTGTGGCTAACATTAGCCGAGGAGCTGCTGTTCCATTCAGCTTTTGTGTTTGAGATAAAAAAGTGAGTCTAATAGGTTTTTATTGCTATCCAAGAGATCCAACACATAGCTGTGAAGCTCATAAAAATCACTTTCGGGTACAAAATATGACACGGCTGAATAGCAAGTCAGCATGCGAGTGGGGGTAAAATAATCAGTGAACATAATAAATTAAATCAATCTCTTTTTAGATTTAGCTTTTGTATACTGTTAGGATCAAATGAACTGTGTTGACATTTGACTTCAGTAAAAAAAATATGTCTTTGTTTTAGCATGAAATTCCATGACTTTTCCTAAAGTGACCCAAAATACACGAAAATTAAAATGTTTAAAAATTCATAGTGTTTGTACAATGAGGCTGTTCTAGGTCGTATCTATTCAGATGGATTTTAGATCCACCGGTGTGGTTCAAATAACAGAAAATTTTGGTTTTAGGGATTTTTAAAATGGTACATTCCATGCATGGAATAATAAATTGGCATAGAAGTATTTATATATTGAGGTCAAACAGAGGTCAGAGGGTGCCTTGGCACAGACACAAGATCTGAAATAGGATGCCATGATCATGGGGTAGTTAGAACCGTTGCCTTACACCAGGAAAGTTCCTGTTTCAGAACCTGTCAGTGGCCTTTTGGTGTGAAGTTTCCTCTAGGTACTTGGGCTTCTGGCCACACTCCAAAGACATACATGATTCTAAATTGGCTGTGGATGTGAGGTGAATAAAGTGCTTAAAAGTGCTGCATGAATGTATAGTTAAAATGTGCTTGTAGTCTAAAGTGGTCATAAAGACTAGAAAACTGATGTATAAATTCAAAAACAATGCAAAAATACCTGCCATGTAAGAATGTGACCTACAAATAAACAAATTAGAATTAGTTTATTCTGAGCTAACAGAGTTTAAACTCACTAAGATTAAAACAGAGAGCATAAATGCACCTGATCTGCCATTTCAGGGATTGTGGGAATCCAAGCGCAAGATTCAGTTATTGATAACCGTGGCTGTTTTGAGACGATGTCCGACCGTGACCGCCGACCATCAGAGCCGGCTGGGCTGGATGGTTTGCCACCACTGTACAGCATTGCCAAAGGAGAGGTGGTTTCAGTGCAAACTTATGGAGCATTTGTTCGACTGCCGGGATACAGGAAGGAAGGTCAGTGAAAAGATTTGATTATTCAGATGAAAAATAAAAGAAAAATAGGTTGAAGAAGAAAAAAAACAAAGTGTTGTTTTGTCTGGAGATCTCTTCCTGTTAAAAGGGAGTTCTTCCTTCCTACTGTCACCATGTGCTTGCTCATAGGGGGGCAGTAATATTATTGGAGTTTTTCCTTTAAAATTGCAGGTCATTACCTTACAGTACAAAGTGTCTTGAGTCAAACAAAACACTTTATACTGTTATACTTGTTGTTGTGAATTGGTACTATGTAAATAAACCTGAAAACAACAAAACCCTTAAAAAAGGACATACATGTAAGTATAGTAGGTAAGCCTGCCCTAATTATTGTAGCGTCTTTACTTTACAATGGGTGGCTGTAGCTCACAGGTCATCTACTGATCGGAAGGTTGGTGGTTCGATCCCTGGCTCCTCCAGTCTGCATGCCAAGTATCCTTGGGCAAGATACTAACCCCAAGCTGCTCTCCGATGCATCCATCGGCGTGTGAATGTTGTTCACATGCCGTCTAAACTGTAGACTCAGTTTAGAGTCAGTGCTTGGGAGAATGGGTGTGATTGGGTGAATGTGGCATGTTGTATACAGCACTTTGAGGACTCCTGGAGAGTAGAAAAGCTATATAAGAATCAGTCCATTTACCATTTACAATACAAAGTACCTTGAGGTGACTGCTGGTATGATTTGGTGCTATATAAAATTGAATTGAATTGAATTAGTGTACTGTCTCACTGTGTGTAAGAAGACAAGGCTGAAAGACTTCAAAGACACAGGTCAAAGTAAGATATTTCACATTCTTGTTATGTTTAAAAAAAATTGTTCTTTTTGGCTTATTAGCACAATCATAGTTTCTTCTATTATAATTCATTTGTGTTATCTTCATAGCAACAGAAATTGAAGATGTGTGTGTACAGACAGGAGGTGTGGGAGGATGGTTGGGCGGGGTTGATAAGAAGTGGGACACGTTGATGAAGTGGGATGACTCGTATCTATATTTACACTTGGGTTACCTCTTTGATAATGAAGTATGATTTATTGTGGCTTGGCCTTGACCTACATGTCCAGTTAAACAGCAGCTTTTCATTTTCACCACCGGAGGGCGAACCGAACAACTTGTGCTCACACATTCATAACCTGTAGCCTAAAAAATGATTTGGAGAGAACTTGTATGCTTTATTTAAATTACAGTCCCTTTGAAGTGAGAGTCAGTTAAAGTGGTTTGAAGTAGATGTAATGATTAAGCACAGTTATATGATTTAGTTGGTCAAATGTTATTGAAGCTTGATAACAGCTGGAAATAAGTTTGATTCTTAATTTAGTATTTGGGTTTTCATTTGTCATCCAACACGTATTCATGTGTCAACCTTTTCTGTAGGTCATGAATGCTCACCATGAAGTGCTGTACAAAAGTCTTGAGCCACTCCTTATTTCTTTATGTTTTGCTGAAAATGGGTGCAGTGATTTATTCAAACCTGTGCAAACATGAATGGAAATACAGAGTTTGTACAATTCTAATGAGCTCAAAAGTTAATATTTGTTATAACCACATTTATATTTCACAACATAGTCTTAACTCTGTTACCTAACTTTCTTTAGGTAGTCTTCAGGAATAGTTCTCCAGGCTTTTTGAAGGACATTCAAAGCTCCTCTTTGGATGTTGGCTGCTGTTTGTTCCATTCTCCCACACTGTTTCAATAATGCTGAAATCTGAGCTCATGGGAGGCTAATCCATGACTGGTATAATGGTTATGCATTATAAGTTTTTCTATCTGGGTATGCTTTTGCTGCATTGGTATCATGTTTTACAGATGGTTGTAGACACTCTTGTATTTTCTCATGACCTTCTCTGTACATATTGACAACGATATGAACAAAAAATAATAATAATTTTGGATTCATAACTTAATAAGACCTGTTGCAACTGATTTTCAATCCACTTCTTGTGTAATGTGGCATTTGGCCTTCAGAAAAGGCTGAAGAACTGTTGTTCAAGACCGTTTTATAAATTACGAAAGAAAGTCTGGTTCCAAATATAAAGACATGAGGGTTTGCTTAAGACTTTTGAAAGTATTAATGTATTTTAGGTGATATCTAAGTAAATGAGATTTGTCCTTTGCTTTCACAGGTCTGGTACATGTGAGTGAGATGTCAGCTTCCCGGGTGGAGAACGCTTCAGAAATTGTGGATGTGGGAGAACATGTGTGGATTAAAGTCATAGGGAGAGAGGTAACAATATCACACGTGTTTTGGACAACATTTGTTAAATGAAGGTATTTGTTCAACTCCAAACCCCAGAAAGGCTGCATTAAAAGTCCTCCTTTACCCTTAAACCTGAAAAGGTGTCAGAAACTGCCACTCCAGTGGGCTCAAACTCAACCTGGTTCTCATAAAGATAGTCACAGAAGTGCACACACAGAGCAGAAAGTTTACAGCTTCTTCCTCTGCTCATCAGATTCAGGGTGACAAGGTGAAGCTGTCTTTCTCCATGAAAGCTGTCAATCAGGGAACAGGGCGGGACTTGGACCCCAACAATGTCATGGCAGAGTAAGTGCTTACGGATTCATTGTGTGTGTTTTCATGTGTCTGAACAGGTGTGTGTGTGTGTTGTTAACATCTGTGTTTGTGTGTTTATAGGCAGGATTCAAGGCGGCGTAAGCAGTTTAGAGACCAAACCAGCAACAGGATCACGCTGGAGGCTGTGCTCAACACAACGTGTTCAAAGTGCGGCTGCAAGGGTGAGGTGACATCATGAGTCATGTAATGTGTCAAAGAGACTGTGCTTGTTTCACACAGATGGCTGATTTGTTTGAATTCACACTGCAGTTGTTAAATAAATTATTACTCTCTTCAGGTCACTTTACAAAGGACTGTTTCTCTGCTCCTGGCCTGCAGTACGCTCTCTTGCCTGAAGAGGACGATGAAGAGCCACAGCAGCAACCATCTACAGCCGCACAACATCAAGATTCAGACAAAAAGAAGAAAAAGAAGGTGACAATGTGACCTTTAAAGCCCTGCGCAGCTCTCGCTTCCTTTTCCGCTCTACCTTTCCTTTGCTGATTCTTTCTTTCTCTCTTTCATCTGATGCAACAACCCCCACATGTCTCTCTGCATGACATGCGGTTGTGACCACATTGGGAGTCTGTTGCCTGGAAAAATGATTTTTGTGCTGATTTAAGAGGAACATACTTTGTGTTTGGGTTTTGAGGTATTGAAACTGCTTTTTTGTGCAACTTCTTTGTTTTTAACGTCTATTCTCCAGGAAAAGAAAGCAAAGAAGAAGAGTAAGAAAAGGGAGAGGAAGGAGTCTGAGAGCGACAGCAGCAGCAGCAGCAGCAGTGAATGTAAATCCAAGAGGAGGCGGCAAGAACACGAGCGTGACAGAGATGACAAGAAGAAGAAGAAACACAAAAAGCACAAATCGCACAAACACAGCTGAGACAAACACAGGGTGAACGTGGTTGGCAGCAGACTGAGAGAAAGACTTCCAGCTTTAATATCTA